CCCCTCTTATCCTCGCCCCCTCCCCCTCCCCCTTATCATCCCCCCAAGGGATTCCTGGAGCCTCCACTCCCAACACAGGGCATCTGTCTGACTCTCAGCCCGTGTCCACAGTGCTGGTTCTGAGCTCTCAGGCTGCTGTGGCCTCTGGGTCTCCATGCTGGGAAGACAGCACCCTTCTGGCCTTCGCTCTTCAGAAGCCCCTCCAGCCCTCTGTCCTTCCCACTGTGGGGAAGGTGCTACGGGGCGAGGACCTGGGGCTGGAGCCAGCTTGTTCACTTCAGGGGCCGCGCTGTGCTGCACGAGCTGTGTGCCATCTCCCCAGCTTGGTTTCTGCAGCGGACTGAATGGCAGCCCCAAAGAGACGTTCACGTCTAAACCCTGAACACGGTGCATTTGGCCTTACTTGGGAAAAGAACCATTACATGTGTGACTGAGTGAAGAGTCTCAAGAAGAGGTCATCCTGGACGATCTGTGGCCTTGAGTCCAGCGGCCGTATCCTAAGGGCAGGAGAGGAGGAGACACACGGAAGAGGAGGCCTTGTGAAGATGGAGACCGAGGTTGGGGTGAGGAGTGCCTGGAGCCCCCAGGAGCTGGGAGAGTTGAGAAATAATCCCCCGGTGCCTCCGGGGAGGCGTGGCCCTGCCCGCACCTGGGTCTGACTTCTGGCCTCCAAAGCTCTGGAGGAATGAGTTACTGCTGCTTTAAGCCCCGGTCCGCAGTGCTTTGGCTCCAGCCCCAGGGCACTGACGTAGCTCCCCCATCAGCGAGGGGGGCACACGGCTCATCCTTACGTTGCCAGGCAGCAGGAGGTCATCCCGGGAGGCCCAGCCCGCTTCCCCGCCTGTGCTGAGCGCTCAGGGGGCGGTGGTCGCCTCTCATCCAGCGTTAGAGCCGGACGGACAGAGCTGGGCTTGGACCCCTGTGGGGCTGCGGGACCCTGGGAGCGCGACACCCCTCTGCCTTGCCCAAGGGCAGGGTGGCCCCATGCTTAGTCTTTGTGAGCCTTTCACGAACCAAAGTCTCTCTCGCCTTTCCCTGGCCCCTTGGCCGTCATTTGGGCTCCTTTTTGCAGCTTTGTCTGTGGCAGTGACAGGTGGGGATCTACAACCGTGTCCGTGGACACAGGTTGGCTGAGTGAATCACGGCACTTCTGTGCGCTGTCAGCCGGCCCTGCGGTTGGACGTGGGTCTGCAGTTACGGACGCGGGAAAGAGGGCCTTGACTCAGTGCGTGAGAAAACATCAGGGATCATCAGTGTTGTTTCCGAAAACAAGTGTTTAATTGTGTGCGCAAGTGTGCGAGTGTGAACTTGTGGGAGAGAAGCCATCAGAATATTTATGCGGAGATGTTGTCTTGGTGGAAGGAGTTGGGAGAATTGCTGTGTGTGTGTGTGTCTATTGTACTGCCTTCCAGCGTCGTTACCTTTTATAAAAGATGTGTATTTATTATATGATCAGAAAAAAGGCTCCGTGATTGTGTCTTAAAGAGACATATTTACATACAAACACGTGTACACAGACACACAAACGTCTGCATTTTTGTAAGACCGTCTGTGGAGCGC